CGGGTAGTGAGGTGGACTGTGAACTGGCTGAAGGAGAGAAGCCAGAGAGTTGTAGTCTATGGGGCGGAGTCTAGTTGGAGGCCTGTATCTAGTGGAGTGCCTCAAGGGTCGGTACTGGGACCAGTATTATTTAATATATTCATCAATGATTTAGATGAGGGAATTGAGTGTACTATCAGCAAGTTTGCTGATGACACTAAGCTGGGAGGAGTGGCTGACACGCCAGAAGGCTGTGCTGCCATCCAGCGAGACCTGGACAGGCTGGAGAGTTGGGCGGGGAATAACTTGATGAAATATAACAAGGGAAAGTGTAGAGTCCTGCATCTGGGCAGAAACAACCCCAGGTTCCAGTATAGATTGGGGAACGACCTGTTAGAGAGCAGTGTAGGGGAGAGGGACCTGGGGGTCCTGGTGGACGACAGGGTGACCATGAGCCGACACTGTGCCCTTGTGGCCAAGAAGGCCAATGGCATCCTGGGTTGTATTAGAAGGGGGGTGGTTAGTAGGTCGAGAGAGGTCCTCCTTCCCCTCTACTCAGCCCTGGTGAGACCTCATCTGGAATATTGTGTCCAGTTCTGGGCCCCTCAGTTTAAGAAGGACAGGGACCTGCTGGAGAGAGTCCAGTGCAGGGCAACTAAGATGATTAAGGGAGTGGAGCATCTCCCTTGTGAGGAAAAACTGAGGGAGCTGGGTCTCTATAGTTTGGAGGAGACTGAGGGGTGACCTTATTAGTGTATATAAATATATAAAGGGGGAGTGTCACGAGGATGGAGCCAGGCTCTTCTCAGTGGCAAACAATGATAGGACAAGGGGAAATGGGTACAAACTGGAACACAAGAGGTTCCACTTAAACTTGAGAAGAAACTTCGTCTCAGTGAGGGTGACGGAACACTGGAACAGGCTGCCCAGGGAGGTTGTGGAGTCTCCTTTGGAGACATTCAAAACCCGCCTGGACACGTTCCTGTGTAACCTTATCTAGGTGCTCCTGCTCCGGCAGGGGGATTGGACTAGATGATCTTTTGACGTCCCTTCCAATCTCTAACATACTGTGATACTGTGATACTGTGTGCATAGCCTGTTGAGCTCACATCTTACTTAAAATCACTTTACCATTGGCTATGAAATAATTTCATCATAACGCTGTCCTGTTACTTATGTTAGCTGGATCCTTCTTCAGCCTCTCTTGGATTAATATTTTTTTATTTTTTTCCACATATATAATTTAATTCAGAGCAAATTATACTCCACAAACTACTGAAAAGTAATACCAATAAGTTTCAAAACCTTTCATTGATGATTCTAGTAACTGAAACCTGTTGGGTTGTAAATTGTTATACTGGTAGAAAATCAAGCTAAAGCAACTGAAGCCATATGCAGTAGTCCTGGTGCAATTTATGCAGTAGAACTCAGATTCTTGACTAACATATATGATTTATGTAATGCTGTTACCTGTTTTTTATATATGTCACTGAATACCACAGACATGTCTTGATCTCATCTCTTGCACTGATTAAGTCGGAATATCCTGTCTGGCTGTCTAACCATCATTTGCTTTCTTGCATACTGATAGCTTATTCGTGGTAACCTATAAGATGATACAAGGTGGATTTTTCTTGTGCCACCTAGTTTTCCATTGCAAGCTAAAGGCCGTTGCTTAAATCATGTATGGGTAAATTGGTTAACTGGTCTTCATGTCTGTAACTATATGTGGTGTAAATTACACTGGCTGCAGTTCTGTGCAAGCTTAACAAAGAGGTGTGTTTTGCCTGCAGGTCAGATCTAAATCCTTAATGGCATTAAAATTACTTGAATGTGCAAATTTGGGTCACGAATACTAGTCATTATTACTCTATAAGTCTGATAAATATATAAGTAAGTCTTCATTGCATTTCCACCATTTCTACTGAAGACATTTCTATCTGCTTTGGTGTGAATTTATGGAGAATCAGACCCACAGTCACTTATTTATATACTTTCATTAGGTCTAAAATACCCCTTCATTGCCATCTTTCTAGCCTAGGTCACTACGTAGCTTTATGCATAAGTTTCATGGACATGTAAAACTCAAAAAAAAAAAAAAATAATAAAAGGAGTACTTGATTTAAAAAAAAGTAAAAGAAAGTCTGTTATATTCATACTTTTAATTTAACACTGGTTGGGATATCTGCCAATGTAATACAGGCACTTTTCTGTGCCTGGAAAACCCAATTAGGACTTGTTCTTAGTTTGATTATCAGTCAGAAACACGCATACAGAAATATTCATTAGAGACCTACTGAGAGCTGTGATAAAGCAGCAGACAGCTGAATTATAGTCTGTCAGTAACCCCACTACAATTTTACATTTGCTTGATAAAGGACAAGTAACAAAATATCTAAGATGTAATTTGGTGCCCACTGGAACTGTACTTCATTTGGTAGATATTGTTCTGACTCTCTTCAGGAGGTTGGTGAGTGTTTCATGACACGATATCCTACACAAATGATAAATCAACAGGCCAAATGTTGCACCAGCCTTCCATGTACATGGAAGCAACACATGCATCAGTTGACAATTGCCTTCCAGTAGCAGGCAAAAGCCAGTCTCTTTTGGGTTGAAAACGTAGGTCAGATTCCAAAAGCTTAGAATCAAAAGGATGATATTTTTAAAAGGGTGATGATTCTACTGACCCCACTCACCCGTACTAAATGGTAGGTCTATACAGAGGCTAGACAAGAAGGGAAGAAAAATCATTACATTAGGGTTTATGAGTTATATTTCTGCAAAATATTTCAGTTAACATTACATAGTCATTTTTTTTCGGGGGGGGTGTTGGTGTTTTGTGGTTTTCTTTTTATATTTATTTTTGGTGGTAGTGGTGTTTTTTTGTTTGTTTTGTTTTTTTTTTTAGCTTACAAGCCCCTTAGTATTGGCCTTAAATTCCACTAACCAAACCCATTGGCAGTACAACACATGATCTGAAACTGTAATAGGCTCTCAATAGAATTGGGAAGGACATATGTATAGAGCTGTGATACCAGTCAGCTAACTAGATCAAAGTCTCTCATACAGTTTATTTAAAAAGCACTTGGGAAATCTGGTTCCAATAATGGTTTCAATGTGCTTTCCTTTCTAAACAGAAACAATATCACATTTGTAAATGAAAGAAATGACGTTTGATACTTTTATTGAATGTGGCGTTTTAGTAACAATGTTGTTCAAGACATATAAACTCCCATCTAAAATTAAATTATTGAAATGAATAAAAAAAATAGTAAGAATGGAGAATAAAGGTCTGTTTGATATTCTCAACATGAATCAGAACCATTAGTTCTGCACTAATATACAATTGCACAGGTTGCAGCAGTCCACAAATTAAGCAAAAATAGTGGCAGAATGTACTCTTTATTTTGTGATTTTTATTTAGACTAAGATTCCATAGCAGTATCTATTATGTACCATGCATTGCACCAGCAAGCCTAAAATAAACACATGTTAAATCATGTTACTAAACAAAACTGTTGAAAGATCAATTTCCCTAAGGCATTCTGGCTATGTATGCATTCAACAACTGTACAGTATTCTCTGATGAAGGATTAAAACCAGTTCACAGTATGAAAATAAGACAGAGACCCATGCCTGAATGAACGACTTTAAAACATGCACAGTCTTTGAGCAGAGCAGGATACTAAAATATAAGACTACCCTTTTCAGCATCTTAATAATTTTTTTATTTGGAACTATATGAGTATTTTTAACATAGTTATTCAAGATGCTTGACTGGCACATCTTCAGTTCTTGAAAGCCTTACAAACTGTGAAAGCATTTTCCCTCAGAATGTTTCCCTGATGCATAAGGTAATTCAGTTTTTCCCAAGTTACCAGACAAAGAGCAGATGCACAGAAGCTATGTGTAGGTGTACATTAACAGGTACAGGCGGAACTGAGCTCAGTCTTCCCGTGCTAGTACTGGAATTGGAAATATAAGAAAAGATACCAACGTAGGCGTCTGCATCTAGATTTTTTGGTCCAGACACAGTTCTAGCCACATGCTGCACCAGAGCTAGCATACTGTGTTGAAAGTCTGGGGGCTGATTTTCACAGCAGAGGATGTGGCTGAAAGGGTAGTTCAGACCTCCCCCTTTTCTGCCTGTGTGTTCTTAACAGCTCCTTTTTGCCTGGTCTGAAGTTAGCTCAGCTATGTGGAAAAACAACTCAGACACGTTACCAGCTAAAAAATTTCCCAGCAAAGAGAAATGGTCAGTTTTCCATCACGCCAAGTCCCTTCTTTGACCCACTGTTGCAATGACATGTTTCCTAGCACTGGTGTAAGGTAAGTAATGGGAACTTGCAGTCATAGCAAGGTGTAGAGGGCTAGGGTACATCTTTAGATAGCACTAATTCTTAAGGATGCATAAAAAAAAAACATTAACCCCACCCATAGTGTATTAGCGTGGATGTAGTACTGGAGGAACACCTAGTGACTTTCCCAGAGGCAGAGAAAATTCCTTTTAGAGAAAGACTTGGAGACTTCAGATGAAGCCTTATCTTCTTCATTTTAGACCATCCCTCTCCAATGCATTTTGTACACACTGGCAAAAGGGAGGTATCACACTTGTGAGGTATCATGATGGGAGGTATCATGATGATATCTCCATATGTAACTGGAAGTTAATGAGGTTTCACTTAGGCAAAACACTTTTGATATGTATTTAAAATTAAATGTGCTGAAGAAGAATGATCTTAAACTTGTGGCCATTTGCTCTCATTTAGTTATTAGCTAAATCAAGATCTTCAGCCTTGATACAAAGTTTGAAGAATTAATAAAATCAGAAAAGCCTCTTGATTTCTGAGAGTCTTGGTTCAAAACAGCTGAGTTTTTCAGCACATGAGCCCATTCTTAGAGCTCAGGAAAACAATATATTGCCACTAAACTGTTTTTAGACTGTCAATCTACCCCAATTTTTGTAACTATATCTACTTGTACGTTCACAGGACACACATTTAAACACACATCTGATTATGTAGGGCCTAAGTGGGGCTGACATTATGTACTACATAGAATAAAACTTTTTTGTCTCAAACTGGGGGGTGTGATCTGACTGCTGGAACCATATGGAGTCTGCAAGGATGTTTGGAAACATAGTTGCTTACACAATCAGTTCAAGTTTCTAATATATTAATGTTATTTAATTCTTACTCTGGTTTTATTTTAATTTTAAAGATCCATATACTTTTACAGAATCATAAAGACATATACAGGTATATTAATATCACATCATATAATTTTTTCCCCAGCTGAGTTTCATTCTGAAAAAAACCCAACAAAGCTATAGCTCAATACCACATAAAAAATATTTAGCCTTGAAAGCACTATTTATATACCCAAAATCTTTATTAAAAACATGGGAGCACACTGCTGAGTAAAAACATCTGTCATTTCCCCTACATCTTCTTTTTTATTCCTTAAAACAGTAACACTCACATTTCAAATGGCTGAAGAGTTTATTTAAGTTATTCTGAGCATATGGAAAGTCCTTCTATCATCCACACACAGAGACAGATAACAGTGAAACTCTGAGATTAAAAGTCCTAAAACACTGAACATGAAGGGTAAAGAGTGAAAGAAAACACAATCATTATATGCCAGCATTATACTGGATATGGTAGGTTTGGTTGTATGTGTTCAATACAGTTCTAGGAACCAACTTTTTCCCCTCTGTCATTACTAAAGATTGGGTGGGTGAGCCGTCTTTCTCAAAAGATACATTTATGCTTTGCTGACAATGTTGTTTTTCATGTCTAAAAATAAAAATGTTCTTTATAATAGACATATAATTATACATACTCTGAGGGCTCCGGTATCAATATGTGGAATACTGGAGAAGAAAAAATTAGTCCCTGCCTTGAATAGTTTATATCTACCCCATAAATCTGTCATTCAGCATAAATTTTAAAAGCTGGCTAGATTTTTTACTCTTGTTTGAGCCTGTTTTTGCTTATGTTGCTTATATATTGACACTAACCCTCCAACCTCCATGGTCTTGCTCCTGATTTATAGCAGTGCACCTGTAAAGGAACACGTCATGTCAAATGGCTGCTTGGATGAGCCGGGCTAATTGAATGAGTGCGAGCTGAACTGCAGCACAATGGCTGTAGGACTTATGAGATAGCACAGCAGCAGCAATAAGAACAGCAGACTGGGGGTTCTCTCTGCTGACTGACAGGTTAGGTCACCCAGCTTCCAGGACTCGGTAGTCATTCCTCATGAATTTTAAGGGGAAAATCTTCTTATCTTCAGCAACTGCATAATTCTTGATCAGACATTACATGACACTTCTTTTTCCAGAATACAGTTAATGGCTCTGTCCTGGCCTCCTGCCAGGTATGCATTTATAACCTGCTTCAGCCTTTACTTATCTGGAGAATAAGAGTGAGAGAAAAATACTGTGCATGTAACATAGAGCTCCCACAGGGCAGTGCACATGCTATGTGTAACTGGGCTTCTGGGCCAGTTTTGCACTGGAAATACAGATTCTTCTCACCATCTTTTTCTCAGCTCTGTAGTCAAATGAAAGGTTTTAGGTTTCTCCTTTTTAAATTTTATTGTAAAAGACTATTTTATAAACATATTTTATCCTTAAATGATAATTGCATAACTAACTCTGCATTTCCTGAAGGTGCAGAAATCTCTGAAGGAGCTGAAATCATCTCTCAGGCACACATAGGGCTAGTTTATCCACTGGAGTAATTTAGTCTATCTCTTTAAGGAAGCAGTCTAACTTTTGTACTTGCATCTATTTAAATTTTAGGAACATTGCTGTTTGTATTTGTGAATCCGACTGTCAGGCTTAAGATCAATAAAAGTGAGAATAGTTTCAGAACCTGCGGGCTTCTCTAGGTCTCACAAGCAAGACATAAGAGAAAATGAATTTAGACTGAATTAAGTTAGGGTAATAATTCAGCTACAGCGAAAGCTTTTCAATATTTCTTAGCAGTCCAGAGACAGTGAAAGAAAACTGTAGATTTTGAAAAACGTAGGTATTTCCTTTATATGTCAGATATGAAGGTATTTTCATCTGGTTAAAGTCTGCTGTGAAATTTCTGTAAGCCTAGTTTATGAAGATTGCAGTTTAAGTCCCACAAGTCATCTTTTCCCTTCACAGCTGTTATACTATGACATACACTGTTTGGAAAAGAGGAGACACATCTGTTTGCTTCTTCAGTCCTGTCATTGACCCTTACCCTGACCATTAGTTGGCCATCACCTGTGATAGCTGCCCATCCGCCTCCTCATCAAACCCTTCCATATCCAGATGTGCCTAATCAGTTATCAGAGATGTGATTGATGGAAAGTCAGCCACAAGTGCATGCCTAGGCCTTAACATGGCAAAGGAGCTGTACATAGTACAGATGACGTGTTGTCCACCCACTTAAACAAATTCTCCAGCTGCAGTAGTTGACATCTGTGATGCATTGAATCTGCAAAAGGACAGGATGAAAGGGGAGGGAGTGGTTATTATTCTTTGAAAGACATTGACAGGGGATGTGTTTTCTGTCTCAGAATGAAAACAGAAGTGCTAGTAGAGGGGGGGCCGTGGTGTAGAAGATGGAGAGCTGTCTCATCAGCAGAGAGGAAATAGTTTGAAACAAACACTTCTGAGTCCTCCAGATTTTGCTCCAAAGAGTTATATGATGAAAGGTCACACCAAGTATAGCAAAAAATTGCCAAGGATCCTTCCAAGCCTACAAATCCATTATCTAAACTTCTGGCTGTAGAGAGCTCTAGCAAAGACTTGGCTCTAGATAATGAACACTTTTAGAAACTGGGTACAGTTCAGGAGTTGGCATTGTCCAGGGATCTTCTCAGTAGGAGACATGACTGCAACTGTCTTACTCTGAAACTAAGAAAGCTTAGTAGTGTGAATAGGACATATTAGACATTTGTCTTCAGTTCCAGAGAGAAAATTTAATTTACCAGTACAGATTTCCAGGCTCAAAAGTTGAATACTCCTGTAGTTGCCAATGATGGTCAAAAGTATTGAAGAAAATTTCTTAAAACTGAAGTGCTTTTTATTGTTTCCTGCAAGAAACAGAGCAACACACCTCTGGGTATGTCTTAACACAGATTGTCACTGGTAAGGCAGCATCAAGTATCAGGGTGCAATCTTGTCTGAATCCTTTTTCAGTGCCTCTGAAGAAGCTCAGATGTTAAATCAGACAGACACAGATAGGCACTGCCACTCCCAATAAGCAGGAGCACACAAGGGATTGCTAAACCTGTGTACATGATCAAATGGCAAACTAAATATTCAGTGTACCATTCATAGCCTGGTCAGACTTTGACTTAATTTCATAATTTTAATATTACAAAACTAATTTTAATATTTCAAAATTAATTTTAATATTACAAAACTATCACAAGCGACTTCCACTACCATATCCTGTTTAAACACTGAAGTGGGCACATTCTTTTACCTTGTATTAAATAAGAGTGGATTTAAGGAAATGTAGAACTGATTCCTAATCCAAAGTAAAAACCTCCCAGATCTATGTAGCTGCTGTGCCTTCAGCAGCCAGATTTTACCGTTTCCTATTTCCCATGCAGTTGTCACTGTCAAAGCTGCTCTCTGCAGGTGGCAGTGCCTTGCTGCTAAATGGTGAGAGAACTGAGAGTGAAATGAATCCAAGGCTGCTGCCAAGAGAGGGGATTTGCTTGCAGACACATGAAGGGGAGAGCAAGCAGGGTGGATGACAGAGGATGCTGGCAGAGATAGAGAACACACAGGATGCAGAGGTGGGGGAACAGAGATACGTTTAAAAGGCAAAGAGGGAAAATTCAGATAAAGCAGCAGAAAAAGTGGAAGCTTCCATTATGATAGGTGCAGAGGAAGAGAAAGAAATGGAGGGGACCAAAACGAAGATTTACATGAGGGTGAGGAATATTTCAAAGTATTTCCCTACCATGACCCTCTAAAGAAGCAAGGAGTGGCAGGAAGCTTATGGATGTTTTTATACCTACAGTAGTTATCTGTGTCTCTGATTCATTAAGAATATACCTACTACATATTTTATGAGGATGTGAAATCCTACTTAGATATTCCCTCAATGGACCATCTTTAGAAAAGCTGAGATTGTGCCTCAATCTTTTCCCGAAGCACCTTCATAGACCTTCAGTTGTCTTGTACTTTCCAAAAACAAGGAATGATTTCCTCTGGATTCATGATCTGCAGTCTTATCACCTTGTTACTGCCCCGATAACATAAATGGCAAAGGACTTAGTGGAGTAAATGAATTAATCTTGAAATGCAAAAGTGTGACCTGACCCTAGGTGGTAAAACAACCTATGAGAAAAAAAAAAAAAAAGAAAAGAAAAATCTGACTTACGATTTAGAGAAAACTCCAGGAACAAACTAGCCAACAAAGTTTTAAGTTGACATTTACCATAGCAAAAGGAGTATTTGCGTATTTGGAATCTATATTTTTTTATTTGAAAGTTTGGCTCAACTTCAATATGATTCAACATTTTCATGGTCATTCTTTCCTGTAGTCCTTTTTTTTTTTTTTTTTTTTTTTTCCTTCAGGGAAAAACAAAGGGACCAAGGAAGAGATGAGAAAGGAGGGTGGAGAATGAGCTAAGCAAGGAGTTGGTAAGCATTTGCAAAGCTGGAAGTTCAACTGGAACATTTCTCATTGAAGACTTTTTGTTAATTATGTTTCTAAGTCTTTCTTATGAAAAATGAAGAGTACAAACAAGTGGATAGTTTTATTGCATTGAATAGTACCTTTTATTGTTCACAAATTGTCCTTTAAATATCACTGTTTACTAAATATTAAATAATTATCTGGGGAGGCAGTTGTCCCACAGACTGTGTATTTATCTACCAGTTCATGACATTTTAACCATGAACTGTAAGTTAATCTCACTTTGTTTCTTTTTGTAGTTTTGATTAAGATTTATTATTAAGTGTTTTAAGCAACTATTAAGAAAAAATCCTTTACTAAGAAGTATGAAATAACTCTTTGCTTCCCAAACTAAATGGTCTAATTTCACAGCTTCTTGTAAGGGTGAAGTAATCTATATCTTTCCCAATGAAGATAGGGAATCATGGAACTCAGTAACAAACCTGCAGGAGCTGGACAAATTGGCAGGGTACAAAACACTTGCTCTGAAAACAGTTGTGTCTCTAAACTATCAATTCTCATTCATATATAATGTCATGGTCCTGCTTCTACGGAAATAATTGGTAAAGCCTTTTGTTATTCCACTGGGACTAAGATTGGTCTTTTGGGCTTCCATTCTCTGAACACCCACGCACATACCGAACAGACCTATTGACGTGATTAAGTTAAGTATGTAAATAAGTCTTTTCACTTGCAGTTTGTACGTAACTAATGTTTGGAAAATGAAAATGTTACTTTTCTTCCTGAAACCTCTGGTGTAAAAAATCCACTGTTTCTACTGATTGTAAATGGCAGATATTGACCCATGAGCAGAAAAGAGCCCATAGTTTTGGGTTTGTGTGTTTTTTTTAAATCCTAGGTATGAGAACTGGTGGTTGCAAAGGGCCTTTGTCCCCACACAAGTTAGCTGCAGGAAGAATTTCACTACGTTTTTTACCAGCCATAGCCGTTTTCCTTCTAGATGAGTATTGAAAATCCAGACAAACCGTAAGGAAATATATAAATCAAGAAAAATATATTTGAAAAGAATAACAGAAAATATGCTCTACTGAGATGAAATAGTTCAAAATCACTTGGTCAAAATTAATATCCCTCCAGGAACAGATTATTTTTTGAGGTATCATGTAATCTAAAGAGGACAAGAAAAAGAAAGAAGAATGATGAAAGGGCTCCCTTGCTTTTATATCTCATGCTACATGCTCTTATATCTCTGCTTATAGACCACTCTTTTCTAAAAATGACTCAAATCCCACTTCTTCACTTGTGACTTGTACGCCCAACTCTCCAGCCTGTCCAGGTCTTGCTGAATGGCAACACAGCCTTCTGGTGTGTCAGCCATTCCTCCCAGTTTAGTGTCATCAGCAAACTTGCTGAGAGTATACTCAGTTCCCTCATCCAGGTCGTTGATGAAAATATTAAACAGCACTGGTCCCAGCACCGACCCCTGAGGGACTCCACTAGTCACAGACCTCCAGCTAGATTCTGCCCCATTGACCACAACTCTCTGCCTTCTTCCTTCCAACCAGTTCTTGATCCACCTCACTACCTGATCGTTAAGCCCACACTTCCTTAGCTTATCTATGAGAATGCTGTGGGAGACAGTATCAAATGCCTTACTGAAATCAAGAAAAACCACATCTACTGCTCTACCATCATCCCTCCACCTAGTCACTTCCTCATAGAAGGCTATAAGGTCGGTCAAACATGACTTCCCCCTCATAAAACCATGTTGGCTGTTCTTAATAACCCCCTCATCCTTGATATGCCTAGAAATGGAGTCAAGAATAAGTTGTTCCATCACCTTTCCAGGGACGGAGTTAAGGCTGACCGGTCTATAATTACCTGGGTCCTCCTTCTTGCCCTTCTTATAGACTGGTGGGAGACCTGGACAGGCTGGAGAGTTGGGCGGGGAGAAATCTGATGAAATTTAACAAGGGCAAGTGTAGAGTCTTGCATCTGGGGAAGAACAACCCCATGTACCAGTACAGGCTGGGGACTGACTTGCTGGAAAGTAGCGAAGGGGAAAGGGACCTGGGGGTCCTGGTGGATAGGAGGATGAACATGAGCCAGCAATGTGCCCTTATGGCCAAGAAGGCAAATGGCATCCTGGGGTGCATTAGAAAGGGTGTGGTTAGTAGGTCAAGAGAGGTTCCCCTCCCCCTCTGTTCTGCCTTGGTGAGGCCACATCTGGAATATTGCATCCAGTTCTGGGCCCCTCAGTTCAAGAAGGACAGGGAATTGCTTGAAAGAGTCAAGCGCAGAGCCACAAAGATGATTAAGGGAGTGGAACACCTCCCTTATGAGGAGAGGCTGAAGGAGCTGGGTCTCTTCAGCTTGGAGAAGAGGAGACTGAGGGGTGACCTCATCAGTGTTTACAAATATGTAACGGGTGGGTGTCAGGATGATGGAGCTAGGCTTTTTTCAGTGATATCCAGTGATAGGACAAGGGGCAATGGGTGTAAACTGGAGCATAGAAGGTTCCACGTTAACATCAGGAAGAAGTTCTTTACTGTGAGACTGACAGAGCACTGGAACAGGTTGCCCAGGGGGGTTGTGGAGTCTCCCACATTGGAGATATTCAAGGCCTGCCTGGACAAGTTCCTGTGTGATGTACTCTAGGTTACCCTGCTCTTGCAGGGGGGTTGGACCAGATGATCTCTTGAGGTCCCTTCCAACCCTTGGGATTCTGTGTTTCTGTGATATGAAATTTCTTGAATTACATGAGCACTATGCCCACTAATCCTGCTAAAATAGGAAGACTTACGCTAGCATTCCAAACCTTGAATGAATTTCAATATCTGCATTTCACCTAAGTGAACAAGGATGTCAGGGAATTCCTTCTTTTCTGTTTTCCAGGAAACACAGAATTCCTTTCTTACAGCTAATAGACTAACAGATATTGGAGTGGCAAGCTACGAGAATTAGTACTGCTGGGGAAAAGGTGTGAGGCCAGGACAGAGATGGTGCTCTCATCAACAGCTGGTGTTGTTCTGCCTAGTATGAGAGGGACTGAATTTGCCATCCCTGCTTTGGAGCCTGCCCATGACTCTGTGTGAGATGCAAGGGGGGGCAGGGTGTTGCAGAGCTAAACTCTTTCTACCCACCATGAATGTCTGGGGAGAGACCATGCATTTAAATATGGACCTGTGCTCACAAACTCAGATGTGGGGCATGAACCCTGGATTCTCCCTTCCCAGTAAAGATCTGTTGACATGTTGTCTATATATTTAATGCACATTGTACACACAAGACTTGGAGCAGGGGATAAAGCCATCACCTTGCTTGGAGCACTTACATATAAGCCTGTGATTATATTTCTGATTTCATGTTTTCTATCTCACTTTTCCATTGAAATTAATCTTGGATACATTTCTGCAAGATGTCTCAGTTTCAACCACTTTCTGCTTTTGCCAGAGTAACATACATTATGTTAACAGGGGCCTATAGGGATGCTGGGGAGGGACTCTTCATTAGGTACTGTAGTGATAGGACAAGGGGTAATGGGTTAAAACTTGAACAGAGGAAGTTTAGATTGGATATAAGGAAGAAGTTCTTTCCTGTTAGGGTGGTGAGGCACTGGAATGGGTTGCCCAGGGAGGTTGTGAATGCTCCATCCCTGGCGGTGTTCAAGGCCAAGTTGGACGAGCCTTTGGGTGATATGGTTTAGTGTGAGGTGTCCCTGCCCATGGCAGGGGGGTTAGAACTTGATGATCTTAAGGTCCTTTCTAACCCTAACTATTCTATGATTCTACGATTTTCCAAGACCATGACTTTCAGCTTATTTAAAGATGGATACTGAATTGTTTTTGCTCCAATATGTATTTGTCCAGATTGGGCTAAGGATCACACAATTTCTGTTTTACTTTTGGGTTTTAGCTCTGCCTGGATAACCTGCTTCAGTTTCACAGCCTCTGATCTTCATAGCTATGTATGAAGAACAGCTTTGATCTCAATTTCATATGAGAAGCCCTTGGACTTCAATGATAAGACAACAGGTACAATTTGGTTTTATAGGAAATGGGGAGTCTTCCTCTAAACATGTAAAAAATAGTTGCACACAGTAACAGCATAGAAATAGCTCTGCCTTGCTGACATGCATTGAGGTAAACCACTTTCCAAAAATAGGTACAGGTAGAGAATTTCCTGTAAGACCAGCAAACTTACTATGATTACTGTTTGCGTGGTTACCTCTGTAGCCCAGGGTACGGAATTTATCGTGTGGAGAGCCTGAAGTGTCTAGCTCAGTTTCCTAGGACATAAGCCATTCCTGTTCTCTGCTGGTGGCACATAAAAGCTACTGCTTTATTTATTAAACATAGATTTTAAGAGACTTCTGGGAAAAAAAATTATTGCCTGCAGAGTGCATTGTGAATAGGTGTCCTTCCAGCATTTCTGAACAAACCATTCCTACACAATTTTCTAAGTTTCCACAGTACTTCAGCTGATGACTCGAATAGCCTCACTTCTTACTGTGCTCTTCTAGTCACTTAAACTCAGCTGTTGGTTGGGAACTAAAATAAGCCTTTAAGATACATTTGCAGCTCAACTTACAAGAAATTACTAAGTGATAGGAGTCAAGGTGGATTTATAAAAAGTATTAATGCAGAACTTTGCTTCTGGGGACTTTTTCAGTACAGCTCAATACTCTTCAATAAATATACAAAAAATCCCAACACAACAAAACAAAAACCCCAGAGAGTCAGAAGTAGCTGTTGCTGGGAAAGAAAACTAATTAATTTAAGTAGAGAGAATTACCTTGACTACCAAATGGATTATGTTTTTCCCAGTCCATTACGTCCCAACAGGTGGGTATCTCCAAAAGGAGCCTGAGACACATGCATGGACTGATGAATTCCTGGTCACTCACTGCCAGGGAGCTGCAAACAAATGATTTGCCAGGTGCACCTCAGGATAAATAAGCCTTCCAGAACTGACTTGTTTCTTTGGCTGCAAGTAAGCATAGATGATTAAAGACAGCAGATCTCAAACACTAATGTGTTATCCTCCAACTAAGAAGCTTAAGTTTCCGTAAGTGTCAGAGGCCTCCTGGGTTAAGGAATTTTGTGCTGGATCTTTCTGCTGTTATTAAAACTGTAGACTAAAGTCAGTCAAAACCATGCAAGCACTAAGAGTCTGCCAGTCTCAAAGCAAAGTTTTACAGGCTCTTTGTATGCATTTCCTATGTGATTAACAGGATTGTGGATGCCTGATGTGTTCTCAGAGTAAAGGACTTTTTTTTGTACATCTGCTAGGTAAAAAAAGAAATAATCCTATTCTTCATTTTTGAGTTGTTAAGAGACCAGGTGACTTTTTTACTTTACTCTTTACCTGCCTTCATTGATACATTTGTTAAAATGACAGTTATATCTGACCTTCTTAGCATAACTTTAATGACAAACTCAACCCTCTGAGAAAGTGACTGAGACTCCTACAAGTTGCTGGGGGCCTTGAATCTAACTAATGTGAATCAGTAAAAAACTACAACACAGGAAGATACTATCTGTGTTTCTGCTGCATCATATTACAGATTGTAATGTCATTATACTTTTAGAGACCTATTATAATTCAATATTTATTTATAGTACTTTAGATTTATTTGGCTGAAAATGCACACATTAGTATAAAGATATGTGAGTCACAGTAAAGGTTGTTACATTCATATATTTATATACTTATATGTATAAAGATGTGTGTGCATCTATACAAACATTTTCACTCTAGGAATTTTAGACATTTAATGAAATTTCTTTTTAATATAATAACCTAATAACTGGTAGCAACCAAGTGGGTACTTTTGTGAGAATTTCCATCATTAGTGTAGTTTTGTCATAAAGGACAACAAAACACATTTATTTATAGCATATCAACCTCTTTGCCTAAACATCTAACCTTACGAACATATCAGATGATATATTTCATTATTCACTGTAAGATTACACCAATTTTTTGAGCTGAAGCCCAGTAAGCAAGAGTTTTAAGTGATAATCAGCAATAATGTATTGCTTGCACCTTAATGTCACTATTGGTGATTTAGTGATTAATTATCTGACTGCCATGTAGAGCTTAAAATAATCTAAATGCATAGGGTAAATTAGTTGATCAGGAGAAAAGTCTGTCATGCAAATTCAGTTCTTACAGAACCTTCCTGTCGCACTCATCAATGACAGCCTAAGTGGGTCACCAGAGTGGATGGCCCCTGTTAATTTATTTTCTCAGACATGCAATACATATTCATGATATCCTGCTGTTTGTCTGTCACCTCAAAGAAACTCTCCATCTCCTCCAAATTATAATTAATGAAAATATGCACAGATAGGCTTAGGGGCTTGGAAGAAGAGATGCTGGTATTATGTTGCAGAGGGTTGCAAGGTATTGGTATCAGTAGTTTGCTAATGTGGTAGAGGAAAAGTGTTTGTTTGCCTCTTGCCTTCTCTTTCCCTTCTTCCAAATGGCAGATGTAAATGATCATGTAATAAGCATAAAAAGTAAAAACCCCAAGATGCATGTATATATATATAAAAAATATACAGAAGTGTTATTCATAATGTAGATTTTAATACCATACTATTTTAATTTCTTTTTCAGACCATCACAATAAAAGATCTATATGGAAACCATCCACACATAATCATCTTTTCCAAAATTTTACTTTTGTATTTGTCTATGTTGAGCACTTTCTGATGTGTATTTCATTTAATCGAGAATTGTTTATATTAATACCAGTCATTTTCTGTCATTACCATGGCATCATATGATATAGGAAAAGATACATTTTGTGAATTTTTTATCATACCTTATAGACTTGAATAAATGCACCTTGTACCCAAACTAGTGTAAAGACGTAGGTAAAAGCATGCAAACAAATGCACATTACTACACAAGTAATGGCAATAGCAATGTGATAAATTGTATAGTCATAGGATAGATTAGTAAACCATGCTATAGATAAAATTCATTTAATGCTTCAATTTTTCAGTTACATTTAATTGTCTCAATTTTTTCCTGCCACTAATCCATCTCCTCTAAGACTGACTTGAATAGTCCACACCTCTTCAGACAACTGCCTGTTAAGAAAGTAAAAAGAAAATCCTACTACCAAATAAGATATTATTCCATATGGAGCTTTTCCAGTGTTTACACCTGACAACAACAAAAAAAGTGTAACTGAGTTGTGGAAAAATTGTAATCATTGTGCTATAGTTTGCTCTGCATTAGGCTGTGTTCTTTCCCCTGTTCTTCTCAGAATCACAGATCTACTTTAAAGAAGTTGCAGATAATTAGAGTTGTAATAACGTCTTTTTTTTTTCAATGCTGTTTTTACTCCCTGTTAATGAATGATGACTGAGTTGAATTTTAGCAAAATACTAATGTTTTAAAATATATATTTGCAGTAATTTTTATTTTTTTCTGGTCAGAAAGAGGGACATTAATACAGGAAAATTGCAGAAATAATTATTTTATAACAGTTCTACACATTTGAAAAATAGCTCTGTTGATAATAGGTGAGAAATTAATGAGAGTGAAGTGGAAGGATTTTACTGCTGACCTGCATGACTTACTTGTGCCTTTGTCACTCATAAATAATGTATTCAGCCCCAACTCATGCCACTGAAACATTTATACCACAACACATCATTGTGTATGTTATATAAATATTTATTATGATGAATTATTAAAATAAGCAATGAATATTTATTCTTCTCACAGTATAAGTGTATGCATGCATGTATATTCTGGGTTTATATATATATACACATACAGAAATATGTAAGTAGCTCTATGCACTTGGATAGATGTGTATATAGGTTTTCCCATACGTGCGTAATCTTTTCTATACATCTACCTATACACATTCACATTTGGACCTACACACACGGTTGTAATTCTGGAAGGCTGTAAACATGCTCTTTATGGATGTGCATTATTTATAAATAGAGGCATCCAGATGAAAGGTGGAATCATGTACATTTAATAATTTTTTATTATCTATGATTAATTCTGACAGGAGCATGGTTTTGTTGCAGCTATTATAACAAAGGCAGGGCAAGGGCCTCAGCTGAACAGTATCCAAGTCTCTGAGAACACGACGTCTTTCATTAGCCAGGATTTACAACACAGGAGAATTCTTTCAGGCACTCAGCCCCTGTTTTCACACATTTGTCTGTTAAAAGGAAAAAAAAATAATAAAAAAATGAAAAAAAAATTGCTATATAGCTTTTGTGACACCCAAAGTGCATTTAAAGGAACAATGTTAGATTGTGATTCAGATGGCTCCCTACAACAGATGCCTGTTGAACGCTGGAGCCTGTCTGGGTACATCTATCTAATCATATCTTATTTCATAGACTGTTGTCACATTATTTAAAAATTTGCCAGGAAATCGTATGACAGTACAGAGAGAACAAATAGAGAGAAAGCTGTGCCCAGTGCTGGGGGAACACAGGTAAGGGAAAGAGCTTGGGAACCAGACATAAGATGCATTTTACAGTCTCTGAGAAACTTTTCACTGCACACCATGACATAAAACATTCCAAAACGGGTTGCATATTTGAAATATTAATAGGAATGCATTGAGCTCCATAGACAGCTGCTTATTTCCCCATTTGCTATGTACAAAGCAAAGGATTAACACCACTGGCAATATTTGTGTCAGGCCATACTGATTAATTTAATATTCTGATTGGATGAGCAGCAGAGCTTTAACGGCTGTTAACTTTCTGGCAAGCAGTGCTGAGAAGGTGATAATGAGATTAACATTTGGAGGACCTGATTTGCTTTTGCGCTGTATTTAATTACTACTTTGACACCAACTGGTATGCTCTACGGATTGTGCAGATATGCTGATAGATATCCATATTTGCTAAACTATAACATTGGCTTTAAATAAATGTGTTAAATTCTGATTTCAAAAATACTTTGCACAAGACATGAAAAATATGTGATCTTATTCTCAAAAAATAGTACTTTAAAGAAGATATTTGGAGTAAGCAGAGTGCCTACAGGGAATGAAGAAAGGGACTGATCAGCAAAGAAGTTGTACATTAAAGGCTAGAAAATCTAGTAATAAAGTAAGGGTTGCCAAAAGTTGACTGAGCTGACTGAGGTGACTTAGATTTTACAAAGGAAATTAAAACAAACCTTAAAAAGATTCTGAACTCTATTAATAAAAGCAGAGCATAGAGAAAAAGGAGATGTTACTTCAACCAGGTCTGGATAACGATCTTGTTTTCTTTAAAAAAAGAATCATGGTTTGGATCAGTCTTCAGGAAGATTCTGTAGGAGCTTAATAATGTCATGTAAAGCTTAGGCTGAATTTTGCAATTCAGAGTAAAATTATGGGGCAAACAACCCAGAAAAAAAAATAAATAAAAAGTGACATTTTCCTAAACCAAGTCATAATTTCTTAACCTGTTTTTTCTTTTTTTTTTTTTTTAATAAGTGGAATTGGTATTGACCAGCCATGTATGAAAGGAGAGAGGACAACAGGTAAGGCTATCAGATTAGAAGGATGTTTTTTTACAGAGATAGTCAACAATTGCCTTGGGACTAGTTTTAATGACTTTTAAAGTTAGATGTTGCTAAAGCTGGAATAAGACATTTTCTAAACACAAATTCGAATTATACATAAAACCTCATGTCTTTGTTACTTGATTTACCAAAAAAAGCTTACTAGGACTATAGGCCATTTATAAGCAGTTCAGAATTTGAGAAAGCATAGTGTTTTAAATATATATCTTCTAAACACATAATTTGTACTTGTTTGTACAAAATCATACACATTGTTCTCATTTTCCAGTGGCTAAGCATACCATATATTTGATTGTGATGACCTCCATGAATGAAATTCAAGAGAGACCTCCTTTTAGACAGCTATTGTTTTGGATCCAACTTCAAGCTGAAACAATCATTGTGGAAAAAAATGAGCACACTGGTACTGTTAATACAGACTGAGTATGTTCTTCAGGCCCATTCTCATCTCAATAGCAGATGTGTTGGAAAGCAGGAAATAGAGAGAGACAATCCAATTGACATATATACAAAAGCCCATTTTGCCGTTCTACAACTGAAAATGCAATTTTCACATACTGTGTATGTTCATTTACACTGTTAGTGCAGTGAAAAAGGTTTTAGGCTAAATGCTAGCCAGGTCTTTTGCTTCAGGTACTGCCATCTCTTTGTAATAACTAATTGATATCACTTGCAGCTCTTTTCTGCTTATGAAGTAAGTGTGGTCTAGCTATCAAAAGTCACCAAAAGAGACCCTGGGATGATTTTATATTAATTTTTTGTGTTACATTACACATATTATTTATTTCCATCCTACATTTATAATATTTTCCCCCCTCACAACACTGAAAAATTTACTCAATGATTTGGGACAAATTATACCAAATGACAGCGCTCATAGTTGGAGAACTAATTAATAGCTAGCAGTACTGTTATGAATTGGTGATATGTAGATTCCTGCTACTTTCCCATCACTTTTGTGGAAACCAATATTTTCCAAAGAGATCATCCAGTTTCACCCTTTGCCACTGTTTCAGCTTTGATGTCAACTTCACAGAAGCCAATTGTCATAACTTCAAAGCTAAAATAGTCAAATGGGAGAGACAGCCCTGAGCCAGCTGAAGGGGGATCTATTGAGCTTCTGTGACTATATATCTAATATAGGAGGTTGCACTAAAGGCTTCTACGGCATTGTTCAGGCAACCTGGCATCATCCTGGCATGATCTTGGCATGATACTGGCATGATACTGGCATGATCCTGGCATACTGAGAACACAATATACCTGCTTGCTGCAGAAGTCCAGAAAAAAAAGATGATAAAATCTGATGCATGTGAGTTAGATTTGCTGTGCATATGTCACGGTTTTCATTTATGCAAATACATCCATGAGTTTTTTAATGTCCATAAGGGTAAAGGATGTCTTAAATCTGAAACTGATTAAGCCACCACTTCCTACAGTTCCTTCAAATTCCTTTCTGAATGACCAGGGCTCAATCCCCATCCAACTGCAAGCCTCTCAGGACCAACAAGGGGAATACATTTCAGCAGGGCAAGAATAAAGTTAATAATCAATAATGCTTAAGAAATTGAGTTCATTTTACTATATCTTGAACTTTTGGTTCAAATCCCAGGAAATCTTAAAATTGTAAAAATACAAGACTTTGGGAAAAACTGACAGTAGAGGTTCAATGTGTCCAGACTAAACTGTGGTTGCTCGGCACCATAAAAGGAAAATTTTCTAAATTTTTTTTTAATTACTTTGCTGACTAGTGGTCTTCTTCAGGTTTCTTTTACTAAAAAATCTGCCATGGACATTGCAGACAGGTTTTCTGGGTTGTTGAGGAGACCAGACAACTCTTTAGTGAAGAAATTACATGTATCATGAGTCTGTTTAGACCTAACAATCAAACAAAGAAATACTATAAAAAGCAGGATAACACTGTTACTTATTTTAAGGAAAAATATATTAGTAATACAGAAAGGATGGGAAAACTTGCATTAGAGCAGTAGCATTAGTTTGTGCTGAAGTGTTGTCATTGCAGATTTATATTCCTAAGAGTGCTTTCCAGTCATACCCTGGGCATTACACATCTGTCTGCCCACTATAAGCCTTTCTTTTCCTCTCTTTTTTTGTTTACTTCACTAATATTTGAAATGCAATCCAAGGCATCTTGCTTATTAAACTGGAGAGACTTCAAATTTGCTTTTGCACAATTGGAGCTAATTGTCTGAGACGATTTACATCCATCAGCACAGTGTTTTATGGCTTTCAGACTCAGTGTAAAATGAATAAATAAGAGATCTGAAATCATTATTGCCCTTTATTACTGGAGATGTGCTGGCTAATCTGAGAGTAATTTGAGTGCTAGAGGCCCATCAGACACTGGACACCTGTCAAGCTCTAGCTTCAGCCACTAGTCCACAATCTGTGCCACTTAGTAGCCTCCTCTATTTCTACCCTGAATATTTCCCAGGCAAAAACAAGAGCTGGGGTTAGTTATTTAACGTGTATTTTTTTTTTTTTTTTCCTGTTCGAAGAGCTATGTGGAAAGATT